GGGGCTCTGAGGTCTCCTAATGTAGGCTTCTTAGAATGGGTTTGTCGAAGCTTGGCTATATCCAGCAGATGAAGGGGAGTCATTGATAGCTTCCAATCAAAGGGATAATACAGTCCAATTGGTATTTGTTGGCAGGATGGGGAAGGAAGACTAAAGCCAATGAGAACAGCGAAGAGGTTGAAGCCTGGGGTACACAGACATCTCCTGTGCAGAATTTGGTTCTTGTGCAATCACTCGGGGACCGTGCGGCGAGTGAAAAGAACACCGGCGGAAGGAATCCTGTGAAACAACGCTCCCCAAGCAGCCCGGGGGGGACCCCCGAAGGGGAGAGTCAGAGGGGGCCTAGGGAAGACTGGGGTACCGGGTGTCCGAGCGAGGAGAGAGAGGCGGAGACAAGCGGGATCAGGAAGGCGCGAGTTGTGTCCAACGCCGTCCAAAGGTCCAAAGAGCCTCCGCTTGCTTAGCAGTAGGTGCCCTTTGCCAGAGCAGTTTCTATGTTAAGTGGTGCAAGCGGGAGTTTCGCTGAAAAGGCGAGTGAAGGAGGGAGTAGAAAAGGTGGAGGCGGGGAAGCGATGAATGAGGAGACCAAGCGCTGTGCCCTCGCTCGTCCCGGGAGCTCCCAGGGCCGACGCCGGGAGCTGGCGCGGAGGAAGCGCCTTCCAGACGGGGCTCCGGACGCCACCTTGGAAACCCGTCAGCCTCGCAACCCCCTGCGTAGGCGCGGCTCCAAGGTCAGGGTCACCTCGGGCCTCCCACCAACCCGTCACCTTGACGACCAACTGAAGAAAAAAAACAAAAAAACCTGGAAAGGGCGGAAGCAGTCAGATCCTCTCGCGATATCTGGCAAGTCGCGGCCCGTCTTTTGCGTCTGGGAACCGCGGCCTGCTCTCGCGAGACTTCCCTGGAGTCCGAGCGCTGGGGGCCCTGCCGTGAGGAAAGCCGGAGCTCCGGGTGGGAAACATGTCGGAGTCAGAGCTCGGCAGGAAGTGGGACCGGTGCATGGCGGATACGGTCGTCAAAATAGGTAAAGGGCTTTTCGCCCCTGGCAGGCACCGTCCGGAGCCCAGGAGCCGGCGTAAGGCTCCGCTGACCCGGAGGGCGGAAGGGAAGCCCCGCGAGAGGTCAGGCCGCCCGGCCTGTTCCAGCCCCTCAGACCAGGGCGAGTGGCCCCGGCGCGGGCGGGAGGTCACTCGGGCGGTGGGGGACCCGGGCCGGAGGAGTCCCGAGTGGGAGGAGTCGCGGCGCCGACGAGGTGGGGGTTGGGGTGGCAGGTGGCAGGAGAGGTGTGAGTGAAAAACGGTATGTAGGGCAGCCTCGTGCCAGAGGCTCGAAATTCTCCCTGGGGCCACCTCTCCCCTGCGGCGAGCGGAGCCTGGTCAGGAGGCCACGTCCCACCCCGGCGGAAACAGAAGTGCCTTCTAAAGAAGGTCATCGGGAGCACTTGATAGACACTGCCAGGCCCTAACGTGAGTTGCTGTCATTCCCGACTTGTAACCTGATGGATCGGCGTCACAATAGTCCAGGGCCTGAAACCGGAGACCCAGCGACGGTGGCCTGGGATGAGAATTGCCCTGCAAACTAAGACACGGGCCGCTTTGTAGTCCTGGGCGTAACTCCACGGAGTCTTTTTTACACCCGCTCAGGGACGACACAAATGATGAAGTCGCTGCATGGAGGGGAAAGAGGGCAGTTCTTTTTTTTTTTGTTCTTTTTTTTTAATATATCTTTATTGATTTCAGAGAGAGGGAAGGAGAGGGAGAGAGGGAGATAGAAACATCAATGATGAGATTGTCATTGATCCGCTGCAGCCCGCAACCCGGGCATGTGCCCTGACCGGGAATCGAACCCTGATCGCCTGGATCCTAGGTCGGTGCTTAACCACTGAGCCACGCTCAGCCGCGCAAGAGGGCAGTTCTTTATAGAGCGAATGCTAAGTGCCAGACGCTGTGCTGGGTGCGCAGCTTCATACATTTCCTCATGCAAGTCATGAAATTGAGAGTCAGGTGAAGGAGTTTGCCCAGGGTCTAAGAAATGGCAAAGTTGGAAATGCATCCTGGGTTTTCTGGCTTCAAGTCCCATGCTCGCTCTTCTATGCTAATTTTTATTCTCCAAATTTCATACTTCTGTATGGAAGCCTTATGAGTATGTAAGAGGATAGCCCTTGAATGAAAATAGAAGAAAAGAAATTAGATCGTATGCTCCAGGAGAGCAGGGATGGCCTTGGTTTATTCACTGCTGCATCCCCAACCCCCAGAAGAATGTCTAATAACAATTGTTGAGAAAAGGGAATAAGTGATGTGTCACAGGTACCACTTCACCCTTGAATTCCCTACTTACCAGCTGTGTGATTCGGGGTAGGTTATTTAACTTCTCCATGCCTGTTTCCTCATTTGTAAATTGTCATAAAAATTACTGTTATCTCACAGAGTTACTGTGAGGATTAAATTAGTTTATGTAAAGGCTTGAGTATGAATCACTTATTAAGAATGGGTTATTTTGAAAGAGGCCAAAGAAATAGACAATTTCTTTGTTAGTGTTTACAGCTTAACATTTAGGAGAGAAGATTTAACATCTAGATATGAAACGACCAAGTAATTACCAAACAGGATGATGTAGTAATAGTTAAGAATGGGAGGCAGACAGAGCTGAGTTTGAAGTCACCCACTCTCTTTACCCCTCTCCTCATTGGTTTTGGAGCTTTGGGTAAGGTCTCCCTTAAATGGGGACAAAAGAGATAGGTTTACCGAAAAGGATTATGAAGAGTGAAGGTCAGAAAATTATATAAGATACTTAGCATAGTGCCTGGCACTATGTATTTAGTAAAGGGTGGTAGTAATAATTGTTGATACTGATATTGTTTTTCCAGTGGTGATCACATGAGGCAGCGTGTAGTGTCATTGTCTTTCATGAGTGGGACATTGGTGGGGAGCGTATGGCATACGCAGGTGAAATAATTAAATGAGGCATGGTGATGTATGATTATAGATAAAAATTAAAAAGTGATTCAGACTCTTTTTGCTGTAATGCTGTTATAAATCAAATAAGTGGAGCGATGCGCTAAGGTCATCCAGTAGGAGTTTGCAAGGGAAATGGGCCTTTAGTTGCCCTTTGAAGAATTACTTGGACTTGGGTCATCTTGGAGAGTGGAAGAATTTGAGCAGAGGCCTAGTTGAACTTACATAGAGGAGGAATTTGAAGCATGGAAAGATTAAGTAGTTAGAAGTGGAGGAGCTGAGTTAGAACCCAGGCATTGTAGTTTCAGCACCCCTGTCCCCCAAAGAAGGCTAGTTGGGGTGGAGTCAGAACTGTGAAATATCATGGAGAGATTCCACTTTGTCTTTAAGGCTTTTGAGTTGCCATTGGCTTTTTGCATTCTGTAGATTCAACACCTTTGTCTTAGATTAAAACTATTACTTCTGCTTCCAGGGCTCATTACACCTAACCTGATGGAGAATCATGGAATGGTTTTACACAACAAGTATTTAGTGAGCTCTGGGCCAGTCAGTGGGCAAATAGAGAAGCAGAAGTCATTTCACTGCCCTCAACAGGGAATTGATATGATATAATGAAATTTTTGTATGATTGCTCTGGCAATATTTTATACAGAACAGATTTGGAATAGAGGAGACAGACAGTACTGTAAATGCAAAGTGGTAAAAGTCACTGTTAGACCAGAAAGGAATATTTGAGAGACTCCAAACTTTTTTCCCCATTTATAAAATGAAAATAGTATAACCCACTTCCTAGGACAGCACAGTGACAAGTACAAAGTAGGAACTCAGTAAGTGCTGTTTTCTTTATTTTCTCTCCAGTTGGTTAACTTTGCTTGGTCTTCATTTCTTATAAAGATGACTCCAAGGTTAGAACTTGGGTAAGTGGTAATGTCATTGATCAGAATTTGGAAGTAAAACAGGAGGGGTGTGTGTACCTCATTTATACCAAATAACATATAAGACTTAGTAACTGATTACATTTTGCAGGAGCAAGACTATAGGGAGAAATAAAGGTCATGATTTTGGTTGCTTTTCTGCTTACATAATGGAATCTGATAATGATAATGGAGAAGTTGAAAGGGGGTTTTTCATTTTGAGGGGGGGGAGCTGAGTTCAGATTTCCAGGGGGTTGTCCCTTCAGTGATGGACTTAGAGACTGAGCATAAGAGAGATAAAGCATGAAAGTCTAATTTTGGGAGGCTTTATTTTGTCTGAGTGGTCTTTGAGACTGTGGGGATGAACTCCCTTCTGTAGTGAGTGTACTAGTTCCTGTTCCTTTGGGAATAGGCAGTGAGGTTCTAGAACTCTTTAAATCTCTTTGCTACCTGCTTTTCTGGTACTTCAAAATGGAAATGGAGACTCGGAATGGCAGCCTGTCATGAGACAGAAGTATTTTAGAAGATGTAGGCAGGGAAGAAAGGACCAGTGCTGGCTTTCAGTTACAGATTGATAATTTTATACTCTCTACCTTGGTAGAGATGAAGGGACGCCAAGGTGAATGGACAGCTCCCTTTGTGAGCTGTTTGGCTAAAGCCTTTTTGTTTCTTTCCCACTGGTTTGCTGGGGAAAAAAGTATTTTAGTTGCTCATATTTGGCCTAGATGTTGCCCAGGTGAGTTAAATAGCTCTTGTACTTTTGTACATTAGGTAGTGGTACTTATTTATATATTTTTAATAGTTTATCGATTTTTTTAGAAAGAGAGGAAGGGGGGAAGAGAAGGAGAAACATCAATGTGAGAGTGATACATCCATTGGTAGGTAACCTCTTGCATGCCCCCTAAGAGGGACTGAGCCGCAACCTGGGCCTGTGCCCTGACTGGGAATCGAACCAGCAACCTTTTGGAGCGCAGGACGACGCTCAACCAAATGAGCCAGTCAGCGCTAGGTAGTGTTTTTTAAAAAAAGTGTTCTTCAAGGATCTCTTGCTCTAAGGCTTGAGTAATGTGTTAATAGAAAATTCTCATACGATTTGGTCTTTAGGAAGAGATATATTTATAAATACTCTTCCCCCCTCCCTTTGCTATCAAAGAAAAGCAGTTCTGTTAATTTGATTATCTTTGAGAAAAATGAGGGTGATTTTAGGGAGAGAAATTGTGTTTCCATAGAATCTGTAATACACTGTTGTGGATATTAGACTCTAGTTCAGTTAAGTGTCTTTTTTTTTTTTTTTTTTTTTTGCAAGTCCTTTATTTAAACCTATTTAGTAAAATGAAGCAGAAAGCAGTCAGCTTAGAGTTAAACTAGGAGACATCAACAAAAGCCGAATACGAGTTGTCAACAAAAGGAAGTTATTCTTTATTCCAGAAATAGACCTTAGTAAGTCACTGGTTTGGTGCTAATTGTCTTTCAAATTTTACTTTTCACCTATAAACTGGACTGGATCCTGAATTTTCCTAGTTTTCTTAAATGTTTGTCTATAACCCTCCAAACTAATGTTTCATTTTTTTTCTCATCCATTGACTTGGAATTACTAAGAACTAAAACTTTTCTAAGCCTTGCAAATTGCAGCTAAGAGACATAATATAAACTTCAGAAAAATCATCACATCTTAGTGATGATGCGGTGTAAGCCATGCAGGATTCACTGGAGCACCTGATGGCATCATTAGAGACGTAAGGAGGAACTATCAGATAGTCACTGCCTGTCCTCATTCCAGCAAGAAACTTTGAGCCTTATATCCAGGAATCTTCTTAACTGACAGCCTTACAGCAATCAGAAACTGGTTTATAATTTGCTCTGATCACTAACCTTTTTTTTCCTTCAGTTTTCATAGACATACCCCTTATTAAATTACCCGATTGCTAGCATACACAGTATAGGCCTCACTTTGGGAGCCCATGTGCATCACCACCTCCTGAAATGAGTGAGACTCAACACATTTAACTGAACTGACCTATTCTCAGAGCTGAATAATTGAATCAGTGAAATTGGGAGCAGTCTACCAACTTAGCTTATGGAATGTGAAACTTCATTATTTAAAGTTTTAAAGGCAGGACTGAAGGGACCAAAAATATGCCACCCTGAAGCTGCTT